CGACATGTGTGGGGAAGGCCTCCCTTTTAGATAGAGACTTGCCAGAAGGGAGGAAGCGAGCCAGGCAGATACCAGGAAGAATAGCGCTCAGGGCACGAGTGTTCAAGGCTTTTGTGTGCCTGGCAGCTTTGAGGAACAGTTAGGAGGCCAGGGTGGCGGGTGTGGAGCGGGGAGCAAGGGGAGAATGGTGGGGTGAGGTCAGAAGGGCGATGGGGCAAATCGGGTCGGGCCTCGTGGGCCACGGAAGCACGTCGGCTTTTGCTCAGAGGAAGGCTGTGGCCTGGCATTGGGTTTCACAGAGTCCCTCGGGCTGCTGGGCTGAGAATAGGAGGCCCGGGTAGAGGCAAGGAGACCACTGGGGGACTCTTACAGTGATCCAGGCTAGAGATGGGGGGCAGTGGAAGGGCGATACTGCCCAGATCCTGGATTTATAGTGAAGGGAGAGTCGGCCAGACTCCCTGAGGCTTGGATCTCGGCTGGGGAGGACACGAGGGTTTGGGGTTAAGGGCTGTGGGAGGAGCGGGTGTGCTTGGGGTATAACTGGCCTTTGTATGATGTTCCAAGATCACTAATGCTTTCGTATTCGCTTGCTTCTTGCTTCCAAATCAGTTGCCAGAGTTATGCCTGTTCTGCCACTGAGGCACATGGGAGTAGCAGATGGACCTTGCCTGTGAGGTTACCCTGGCATCGGTCCCAGGCTTTCTGATCTCCTGGCCTTTCTCTGTATACCAGATGATTCTTTAGAAAATGCCCAGAGCACCCCGGACTCAGTTTCCCAGTCTGTAAAATGGAGCTAAGACCCACTTTCTACAGTTTCTGGCAAGAGAAAAGGAGACGACATGAGAGGCTTGTAGGAAATTGACAAATGTGAGCGATGGTTCCTTTTGCTCTGGCCTGGCGAGGTCTCTGAAAGGGCAGCACCAGCATGTTTGGAAGGTTCCCTGACTTCTGTCGTTTCCTCAGGCAGCTGGCTGGCTTCTGCTAGAAGCCACAGTTTCCTATATGGAAGAGCATCGGATGCGATCTCTTATTTTTAGGCGAGGAAACTGACACCCAGAGAGGGGCAGTGACCTGATGCAGGTCACACAGCACGAGGCTGTCCTGGCACCTGCTTTCTTGTCCACCCGGGTCTTTCAGGCCCGGCCCAGCCTTGTGGGTGCTGGGCCTGCCGACACTGGAGCAGGAAAACCCTCCCCGGCGAAGCGCTGGGGATCCTGCATGTTTGTGCACCCCCTGGGTGCACGGCATCCTCTCCTGTTTGGGTGGGTGTCTGCAGTAACAGGATCCTTGTATTCCGACAGAGATGGTGAAACTAGGCCATGAGCTGATGTTGTGTGGGCTGGATGACCAGGAGCTCCTGAAGGTGAGAGGGGGCCATCTCTGTCCCCATGCATCCCTAGTTCCTGCTCCCTAGCCTCCCAGGGCAAGAACCCATAGGATACCCTTGAGTAGACTCCAGCCATCCCCAGGGCCGAGGGGGAGGGTGGCTGAGGAGGCCGAGGTGGATGACCAAAGGGACAGAGAGTGCATCCCGTCCTCGATCGATGACTTCATACACACTGGCACTGTGGTAAGTACTTTACATGCCAGTAATTGTCACACCCACTGTTGGCAATAGTACTTGTCTTAGCCCCATTTCACAAGGGAGGTGACAAACACCTCAGTCAAGGTCACCCAGTGACAGAGCCTGGTCTCAAACCCAGGCCCCTGAGCCCATGTACTTTCCCCATGTGCTGCCCGCTGCAGGCTTCTCTGCAGAGGTAGCCCCAATCTACACTTCTCCCATTACTCACCCCCAAATCATTCAAAGAAACCCTGCCCCCTACCCTTAACATTTAAAAAATTCTTGGAGTAATTATTTCCACATTTTGACTGTTACAAATAAGGTTGCTATGAATGTTCCTGTATATGTTTTTGACTGAAGACACGTTTTCAGTTCTCTTGGGTATATAGCTAGGAGTAGAATTGCTGGGTCATGTAGTAACTCTATGTTTAACTTTTTGAGGAACTGCCAAACTACTTTCCAAAGTGCCTGCACCATTTTACATTCCTACCAGCCGTGTGTGAGGGTTCTAGTTTCTTCACATCCTCACCAACACTTGTTATTGTCCATCTTTTTGATTCCAGCTATACCGGTAGGTGTGAAAGGCTATCTCATTGTGCATTTCCCTGATGACTAATGATGTTGAGCATTTTTTCATGTGCTTATTGGCCATTTGTGTATCGTTTTCAGAGAAATGTCTTTATTCTTCTTTTGCCCAGTTTTTAACTGGATTATTTGTCTTTTTATTGTTGAGTTGTAAGAATTCTTTATTCTGGATACAAATCACAATAGATATTTTATTTATAAGTATTTTCTCCCATTCTGTGGATTGTCTTTTCACTTTCTCGATGTGTCTTTCGGGACACAAAAGTTTTTAGTTTTGATGAAGTCCAGTTTATTTACTTTTTCTTTTGTTACTTGCGCTTTTGGTGTCATATTTAAGAATCCATTGCTAAATCTAAAGTCGTGATGATTGACACATATATTTCCTTCTAAGAGTTTTATAGTTTTAGCTCTTATATTTGGGTCTTGATCCATTCTGAGTTTGTTTTATGTGTGGTGTAAGGTATGTGTCCAACTTCATTCTTTTGTGTGTGGCTGTCCAGTTGTCCCAGTATCATTTATTGAAAAGACCATTTTTTCCTCATTGAATTGTCTTGGCATCCTTGTTGAAAATCAATTAACTGTAAATATAAGGGTTCCTTTCTAGATTCTCCATTCTAGTCTATTAATCTATATGTGTCCTTATGCCAGTACCACACTGTCTTGATCACACTATAGCTTTGTCGTAAGTTGTAATCTTCCAACTTTACTCCTTTTAAAAATTGTTTTGACTATTAGGTGGTTTGAATTTCCACATGAATTTTAGAATAAGCTTGTCCATTTCTGCAAAAAAAAAATGCTAACTGGAATTTTGAAGGAGATTGCATCGAATCTGTAGGTCACTTTAGGGTGTATTGACATCAACTATATTAAGTCTTTCTCTTCATGAACGTGGACTGTCTTCCTACTTATTTAGGTTTTATTTAATTTCTTTCAAAAATGTTTCATAGCTTTCAGTATACAAGTCATACTTCTTTTTAAAATTTATTCTTAAGTATTTTATTCTTTACGATGCTATTATTGATACAATTGCTTTCTTAATTTCATTTTTGTATTGTTTATTGCTACTTTGTGGAAATACAATAGATTTTTGCTTACAGCTTTTGTATCCTGCCACCTTGCTAAACTTGCTTATTAGTTCTAATGGTTTTTTAGTGGATTACTTAGTATCGTTACATATAAAGTCATGTCATTTGCAAATAGAGATAGTTTTACATCTGCCTCTCCATTTTGGATGCTTTTTATTTATTTTTCTTGCCTAATTGCTCTGGCTAGCACCTCCAGTATAGTGTTGAATAAAAGTGGCAAAAGTGGACATCCTTATTTTGTTCCTGATTTTCGGGAGAAAAGCATCTGATCGTCACCATTGAGTATGATGTTAGCTGTGGGTTTTTTATAGATGTCCTTTATCGGGTTAAGGATGTTTCCTTCTATTCCTATATTGTAAAGTTTTTATCGTGAAAGGGTATTGAATTTTGCAAGTGTTTTCTCGGCATCTACTGAGATGATCATGGGATTTTGTTTTTCCATTCTTCCTTCATTTGTGATGTTACAAGTTTCCTTCTGGTATCATTTCACTACTGTCTAAAGATCTGCCTTCAGCAATTCTTTTAGAAATGGTCTATCGGGTCCATATTCTCTTAGGTTTATTTATTTATGTCTGGTTGCCCTTCATTCTTGATGGATATTTTCACTGGATATAGAATTTGGGGTTGACAGTTTTTCTTTTTCCACGGGTTCTGAATAGAAATCTGTAATAATTTGAAACATTTTCCCCTGTGGGTCATACATTGTTTTTCTCCTGCTACCTAAAAATTTTTTCTTTGTGATTAGTTTTCAGCAATTTGATTATGTGTTTGTGGGAAGATTTCTTTGGATTTGTCCTGTTTGGATTTGCTTAGCTTCACAAATCTGTCTTTTGCCAAACTTGGGAATTTATATCTGTTTTCTCTCTGGTGCTCATACTGGATAGTTTCTGTTAATGTTTTCAAGTTTGCTGACTCTTTCCTCTGTCCCCTCCAATTTGCTATCGAGTCCATCAGTGAGTTTTTCATTTTAGTTTTTCTATTTTCCGGTTCTATAATTTCCATGTGTTTTTAAAAACGATTTTCTGTTTCTATGCTGACGTTTCTATTTTAACTTTTGTTTCAAGAGTATTCATAGTTACCTATTCAGCATTTTTATAATGACCACTTTAAATCTGTCAGATTATTCCAGCATCTGTGTCATTTGCCATTAAAGTCTGTCGATCGTCTTTTCTCATGCAAGTTGAGATGTTCGTGGTTCTCTTCTTCATGTGCCAAGTAGCTGTGGATTGCATCCTGGACATTTTAACTGTTGTTTTGACTCTGGGGACTTGCTAAATTTTATGGAGAGTGTCGATATTCGTGTTTTAGCAGGCGCTTAACCTGGCGAAATGGGAGATCCCCTGCCCTGGGAGTGTTGGTTCCTGTAGTTTTCTGTTGCCAGCCACTTTTGTTGCTGCCACCCCCACCACAATATTGCCTGGAGTCTGGGGTATGAGAGAACAGAGAAGAAAGAGAGAGAGAAAAGGCTGGGATTTCTCCCATGCTCTCTGAGTTTTCAGAGTTCCTTTTCCTGGACCTCTCGGTACCACTATGTTCCCTTCTAGGTTTGGGCTGGGCTGAGTGCAGGCCCAGGGAGACTGGAGGAAAGAACACAGTAATTTACCACCAGTCTAAGTGGCTTTTATGCCTCCCCAACACTCGTGCTGGCGTTTACCTTTCCAAGGCTGCAGATATCTGCCACATGCATCCTGTCCCATTCTGAGAGGCGGGCGTGCCATGGGAGAAGCGATGGCATATGTTCCCTCTATCTTACCCAGAACTGTAACCTTTCCCTTAGTTTTTATTAAACATTAAAAATATATATATTTATTGTGGTAAAATATACATAGCATAAAATTTATAATTTTAACCATTTTAAAAATTTCCCAGTGGGCCCCGAAGGGGCTCTACTCTTTTTAAAAATGTATTTTTATTGCGATAAAATACAAATAACAGAAAATTAACCATCTGAAACCGCTTTAAGGTTATAGTCAGTACCATTTAAGCATTCAGTGTCATGCAGCCATCCCCACCTTCCATCCCTAGAACTCTTTTTATCTTCCCAAACTGAAACTCTGTGTCCAATTTTTAAGCCATTTTTAAAACGGACAATTCAGTAGCATTTAGTACATTCTTAATGTTGTGCAACCATCACCTCTGTCTAGTTCTAGAACATTTTCACTGCCCTAAGAGGATATTCATGTCCATTAAGCAGCCTCTCTCCATTACCCACAGGCCCTGATACCCACTACTCTGCTATCTCTATTTCGTATAAATGGAGTCATATGATATGTGGCCTTTTGCGACTGGCTTCTTAGCACATTATTTTCAAGGGTCATCTATGCTGGAGCCTGGATCAATACTTCATTCCATTTTATGGAATGAAAAATAAAAGCAAAAGAATAATTTATGTTGGCATTAGTGAGTGTTGGGAATCAGGGCGTGGGATAAAGGAGAAACGGGTATAAGATAATTAGGTTTAGTCAAACCCTGTAGTCTAGAATGTGAATTGGGGACATCAGTGTGAGATCCTAATGTATTTTAACTTAAAAACTGTGTGTTTGTGTGTGTATATGCATGCATTTCCTTGTTTTGTCTCCTGAAAAGGCCAAGAACAATGACATCCAGTTGTAATATAAGCGTGGGGCAGGAAATGTACCAGTTGAGCCAGGGACACCTTGTCATACCAGAGAATAAGACTTACAATCGTGTCTGAAGGACTCGGGGGACAGTTAGCAATTGAAGCCCTCACTGGCCAAAGGGGACATTGTGGGGATGACGCACACGTTGTAAGGACAGTGACTACAGTAGACTGAGGTCCTTTACGTATATTTAAATCCATGTGTTTGTAACAATATTTTTATTTTTTATTATTTATTTATTTTTATTATGCTGACATTGGTTAATGATATCCAGTAAGTTTCAGGTGTACAATTCAGCAGTAAGGTGCATATATATATATTTCATTGTGTGTTCATCGGCCATAGTTAGATTTCTTTCTGTCACCACATATGTGACCCTTTTTACCCCATCTACCTCCCCTCTCCCCACAACCCTCTGGTAACCACTAGTCTATTGTCCATGTCCTTGAGTCTCTGTTTGTCTGTCCTGTTTGAGTAACAATATTTTAAAAATATCATTTTGATACCAAAAACACAAGCAACAAAAGAAAAAATAGATCAATTACACTTTATTAAAATGAAACACTTCGGTGCTTCAAAAGACACCATCAAGAAAGTGAAGAGAATCCATAGAATTAGAATAGCTATCAATCACATATCTGATAAGGGTCTAGTATCCAGAATCTATAAAGAACCCCGATAGCTCCATAGTAAAAAGACAACTCCAAAGAAGACACACAGATAACAATGAGCACATGAAAACATGCTCCCCAGCACTAGTCATCAGGGAAATGCGCATCAAAGCCACGATGGGACCCACTTCACAGCCACAAGGAGGGCTAGAATAAAAAAAAGGAAAATCGTGAACATTGGCGAGGATGGGACGAAGCTGGACCCCTCATACACTGCCGGAGAGGGTGTGAAGTGGTGCGGGGCGCTGTGGAAAACAGACCGGCAGTTCCACAAAAGGGTAAACCCAGGGTTACCACGTGACCCACTCCTAGCTGTAGACCCAGGAGAACTGAAAACTTACAGCCACACAGAAACTTGCACATGAGCAGGAAGTATTATTCAGGGTAGCCAAAAAAATAGAAAGAACCCCAATTTTCATTAACCGGTGAATGGAGAAACTAGCAATAATGAACACACTACCAATACGTGCTATAATGTGGACGAACGTTGAGAATGTTCTGCTGAATGAGAGCAGCTCACATAGTATGTGAGTCCATTCATGTGAAATACCCAGAAGAGGCAAATCCATAGGGACAGAAAGGGGACCCATGGGTTCCAGGGGCTGGGGTAGGGGGGATGGGAAGTGACTGCCAGCGAGGATGCGGTTTCTCTGGGGGGGTGATAGAAACGATCTGGACTTACATCATGGTGATGACTGCACAGCTCTGTGACTAGCCCGACAACCACTGGACCGTGCACTTAGAAAGGATGAATTCGTGGTGCGTGCATTGTACTTCAATAAAAAACAGCAGCGTAGCTGAAAGAAAAGATCATATCTGCGAGAGGAGTGCTCCGGGCTCAAAACCAGTGAGCGAGCAGCCCCGAGGTAGCACGTTCTTGGCCTGTTCCAGAAACAGCCAGCAGGCCGTTTTGGCCGCAGCAGAGCTAGGGCGCAGGCCACATGGGACTTGGTAGGCCTGGGGAGGCCTTAGGGCTTTCTTCTCCATGTTCTGGGTGGGTGGCCGTCATTTGAAGGAGGTGGCTGGGTGGAGCAGAGGTGGCCTCCAGGAGACCGGTTGACAGGCTGGAGCTGTGACTGGGACCTCGAGTGCTGGCCTGGGTGGCCGTGGCAGTGGTGGAGGAAGCAGCTGGATTAGGCTAAGCTCACGAGGTTTGCTGATGGAGGAGGGATTGGGATGAGGCCTGGAGCATGGGGCGGCCTGGGGTTTCGTGGATTCAATGTGCAGACCTTTCTGGGTATCCTTGTTGGGTCCAGCCCTTTACTGGGGAGCAGACAGGAGACAGACGTGATGAGGCCTCTACCTGGCGCTGCTCCCGGGACATTAGAGGCCATGGATGGACTTCAGCGAGGTGGCTGCAGTCCAGCCTGGGGACTGTGGATCTTAGAGGGGCTGGGCACTGATAACCCACAGGGGCCCTCCGTGGTCCAGGCCTGTGGCCCGGGGTGCTCACAGGGAGCTCACGGTCAGGGCCGCAGTCCCAGCCCCACCCCAGGTTGGCAGAGCCCTGAGCATGGGCACCTACTCCTTCCTGGACATCGGGAGGGACTGTGAGAACTGGGTCGGTGCTGAGGAGGGGATGGCAGGCAGGGTGTCCCAGCCCTGGCCACTGGTCAAGGTTTTGTGAAGTCCTGAGTGACAGTTGCTCTCATGTTTCTGCCTGAGCTGTCCCCTGTCTAGACATTGTCCTACACCCCCACCTCCTACTCCTAGGCTGCCCTTCACGTGTGTCACTTGTGCTCAGTGTCATGTGGGCAGATTGGGAGGATAAGTCAACAGGAGGTAGCGATGAGGCCTGAGTGGCCTGCCGAGGGCATGGGGATGCTACAAGCTTCCAGAGGCGCCAATCCCGTTGATGTGGCCACACAGCTGGGAGCCAGCCTGTGGGGAGTGCCAGGCAGCTGCAGCCATGAAGCCCAGCACCTGTGGACAGAGAGCCAGGCAGCAAGCATTATAGCAGAGCGTGCCCTTGTCCCCAGGTCCAGCTCTCAACCCAGGGCCACCTGGCCTGAGCCTCTCAGCCCTTTCACTTCAGCTTGTGCCTTCCACACCCACTTTAAGTGCAAATGGTTCTTGGAGGGCTTTATAGTAAGTCACCAGTGATGCTGGCTGGGTGGACCACTCTGGTGCATCCCTCGGAATAATGGGTGTGTCGGGGTGGGGCAATGAGGGGCTTAAATGGGCGGCAGGCCCAGCTTTGTTTCTGGCAGCCCTGCTCCCACAGGGCTCTCTGCAGCAGTCCAGGCTCTCAGGTTATAAGTGGGTCCTGTGGATCAGCTGTGAGCCTCTTCTCCTTTCTGGAAGGAGAAAGGCCTGGTACTTCTGAATGAAGCCTGAGCTCCTGGCTGGGTAGCTGCCTGCTGGAAGCCCAGCCCCCTTCAGGACAGGGGAAAAAGTCAGCTGCTGCTTGAGGACCCTGGCTGTAAGGCCGGCTGCTTGCCACCCAGTGGAGACGAGTTTTCGTTTTCCCTGTCAGGAGTGAGGTCCACGGCCCTCTCTTACTACGCCAGTAGCTTTAGTCCTTCCTGGCTGGGAAGGGTGGCCTCCAGGAGGTGTTCCTGAGGAATGGGCTGCCATCAGGTCCCTGTGGGCTGTGTCCTGCGTGCAGTAGGCCTTGCTGTCTGCCCGCCTACCCAAGAAGCCGTGCTGTCGGACATGTGATGAGCACACACTCCCACATGTGTGTACAGCACTTGCCACCTCCAGAGTGTGGTCCCAGATATCATTGCCATCTGGGGCCAGCCTTGAACAGGGAGTGCTCAAAGGCAGAAGATCCTGAGGCCAAGGTGCCCGAGCCAGTTCAAGACGCTGCCAGGCGGGGGCCAGGGAACTGGTGGCTTAGGCCCTTTCTTTCCACTGGCCCAAGCCGGGTAGGGTGTGGGGTTGGGGCATGCAGCACACCTGGCCAGTGAGTGCATGTGGCCTTCCTTGCTCAGGGTCGGGCCTGTGCCCAGAAGCAGCTACACTTCATGGACCAGTTGCTGGATGTAGTCGGGAGCCTGACCATCAGCTACGCCACCTGCTCCAGGTAACGGCTCAGGACGGGCCCTCCACACAACAGCTGGAAGGTACCCTCGGTCCTCTGTCTGGAGCTGGCGGGCCCAGGAGCCTACTGGGCACCCGGGCCCGCCACCAGGCACATCTCTAGCTGAGGTTTCACTACCCGCTCCGGCGACCGCAGCTGGGCACTGGCCCAGGTACCCAGCTGTCAGGGTGAAGAGTTGGGCCTGCAGAGGGCGGGGGATCCCAGAGGCATGGGGCTCAGTTCCAGCCACCAAAGCAGGCAAGGACTAGAGGAGATCCCTTGTCTCAGCCTCTCTGCTGGCTCTTATTTGGCCTCTTGGGGCTCCCACATGGGACCTCAGCAAGACTGCCAGCACAGTCCCCGGATGTCATGCTCCAGCTGGTAACCGTGGCTCTGGGCTGCCTTTGCAGTGTGGAGGAGCACTTCAAGGACACCAAGGAGAAGAACGAGGCACTACTGGGGGACTTCTTCTCCAGTTCCCACCTGCAAGTGCTCCTGAGCCCCGAGAGTGACTTATGGTCCATGGACTGGGAGTCCTTTGACAAGCAGAGCAGTGACTGGCAGAGGTACTGACCCTGCGTAGATCTGTGGTCTGGGACAGACTCAGGTATGGCCAGCGACAGCACAGAGCTGGAAGTGTCCCCTCTTCTCTCCCTGTAGGACGAAGTCCTCTGCAGAGTTGGCAGAGGAGGAGGAGAAGGTGGCGGAGCTGGCCAGGCAGCTACAGGAGAGCGCGGCCAAGGTGCAGGCACTGCGGACTGAGGTAAGGGTGCTGGTGCCAGGGCCGCAGGCGGCCCGTCTTTGCAATGACCGTGTTGTGAGGCTGAAGCGAGGTGGCACGTGCGCAGGCCCTGATGGGTGCTAGAAAGTGGTGGGCGCTCAGCCCACGTGAAGGGGAGAGGCCGACGAGCTCTGGGCAGGAGTAGTGAAGCTTCCTAAAGCATGGAAAGGATTGGCCTGAGGCGAGCCCCATGCCAGGCCTCGAGCTCCAGGCGTTCACACGCAGTCTTGCTTGTGGCCCTCCCAGTAGCTCTTGGCCTGGCCTTATTTTCCTGAAGAGGAGACTGACACCCACACAGGTGGCAGTGGCAGGGCTGAGGCTCGAAACGAAGTTGCCCTTTTCTGCCTCTGGTCTTAGTTCTCCTGGTGTGCGGAAGACTGGAGTGGCCAGAAGGCCCTGCCCCCTCCCCCCCCTCCCCGATGCGGGGAAGGGACCTGGTGCCCCAGGGGCAAGCAGGGCAGCTTCAAGGGATCCTCTCTCTCTGGCTTTGCAGCACTTTGTGCAGCACAAGCCAGGGTCCACTATAAGTAGGGCCCACATCAGCACTCTGGACCAGAAGCTGCGCCTGGTCGTCTCTGACTTCCACCAGCTCGTCATGGCTTTCCTGCAAGTCTACGACGACGAGCTGGGTGAGTGCTGCAAACGCCCAAACCCCTACCTGCACCCGTGCGGCCCCATCATCCAGGCTGTGTACCAGACTCTGACTTCGTGCAATCAAGTAAGAATCACCCTCTCCTCTCCCACTGCACCCCCCAGCGTGGGACCCGTGGGCTGGGACGGGGACAGGGAGGGGTTTGGCCTGGGCTCCTTGTAAGCAGGTGGCACAGCTGGGCTCCAGGCTCCGGCCCTCAGCCTAGGACCTTGGGTGGGTTGGGGCAGCAGCTTTTCTTGGTGCCGCGGTGGGAGCGAGGGCTCACAGTAATGGATGGTCCCCCAAGGGCCCCACCGCAATGCAGGAGGTGTTAACTAAGCCAAGACCCTGAGCCCGGAGAGGTTTCTGCACTGGTCCCTAGTGGACTCTGTGGCACCCTTTCCCTGAACTCGTTATCGTGGGCATCGTTGCTCTCATTCCAACTTCTTCAAAAGCCTGATCACCACGGCCGTGGAATATTTCGTTCTAGCTTCTGTCCCTCTATTGGTCTCACGTTGCCTTCAAGATATGCCCAGATGTATCACAGCCTCTTCATTTCTGTGTATGACCAAGAACTATGCCACACAGATGCTCGCTTGTGCGCACCCTTGACCCAGCTCACACAGACAGGAACAAGTGGTCGCACGCTGCTGAGCCGACTACGTGAATATTCACTTATTTTGTCGTTCCACATTTCAGACCCCCAGAGCCGACCTAACCGCGCGCGGGCTTCGGTCGTGATTGCGAGCACAGCTGCCATGCGTGGAACACTTTCACTGGCTCAGAGCCTCCACAGTGTTTGTCTTGGTTTTTTAACAGAAAGGCTCCTGGACTTCCAAGCCTCTGGTTAGACGGTCCTTTGCGACTCCGCCAACTGGGCGAGTTAGGGTCCAGTCCTCTCCCATCAGAAAGGCCCTTTTATTCCGGGACATCGATTCCCTACCATGGGACATTTTCCCACTGTGCCACTGGTTTTGCTTGGCTACCAGCGAGGGATGGGGCACACGATAGTGTGGCATCCCCGCTGGGCCAGGAGGAAGGAGGTTAGGTTGGAGAACTCTGGTGACTCTCCAGGCAGCTAGGAGTCCTGCCATCACCCAGGGCTGTCCTTGGAGGCGAATGCCACATGCCGAGGACCTAGGAAGGAGCACACGCTCAGTGTGAACCTGGGTGGGAAGCAGGAGATGCCTCCTATAGGTCAGACCACCAGCACGTAACGCCCGCATGCCTCCCTCCCTCCGTCCCAGATGCTGAAAGCGGTGGCGGAGATCACTGACAGCTCAGTGAAAGCTGTGGAGATGGTGAAGCAGCAGCAGAGCGAGAAGATCTGCTGGGGCAACAACCACTCTGTGATGAGTCTAGGTATGTGGTCACCACTTGCGGTGGCTGTGCCTGGCTGCCCGCTTGGTAGTCGGGGACAGGGCTGTCCCAGTATGCCTCAGCTTAGCACCTAACTCATGCCTGGGCTCCTTCTGTACTCAAGCACAAGCTCCCAAATGGCAGCATTTGGGGACCGGCCCCTTACTTCTCTTCTTTCTCTAATGCATAAAGTTTTCCTTCCCTTGAAAAAATACTTTTGACAGATTATAAAATCAGAACATTAATTATAGGAATTTGGGATAACCCAAAGATGTGCAGAGGTAAAATAAAAACAATCCATAACCTGGTGGTCCAGAAATGGTCGGTGTTAATATTTTGGTCTATTTCCCTCCATTCTTTTTCCTTTTGTTATTTTTTTATTTCTTTGTATAAGTTCAGTGTGATCACAAGACGTGGACACTTTTATATTTCGTTCTTTCCCTTGGACCTCACTATAAGCGTTTCCCCATATTCTTGAAGTAGCATTTTTAATGGTCAAACACTATTCCATTCAGCCATTTGCTACGATTTGCTTACCATTTTCTATTACTCGAAGCTGTAGGTCATTTTTACATTTTTAATATTATTCATAATGCCGTCGCAGGATGTATAATAATGTAAGAGGGAAACAAGGCAAAACTTTATCCTCGGGTGACACTCAGGTAGATAATGGAATATGCATGTGGTGGGATAGCATTCGTTGGTGATGGCGACATGAGGAAATGCATATTCTAGAATGTCGAAGGGAAAATGCACGGTAAAAAGGAAATAAAAGGAAGAAAAGAAAATAAAAAGTATGGCCTCACCTTTCTGAAGGAAAACAATGTAGAAGGACCCCTCGCGGGAAATGGGCCCCAACGTGGACATTGCTTTTTTCCGCGTCGGAATCAGGCGGTTTACTTTGATTTCTGTTTCCTTAGACTGCTCTGTACTCTTCAGATATTCATTCCCCAATGACACATATTACTTAGACAGTCCCACCATTGTCAAGCTCAAAGAAAGGACGCAGGGAACATGTTTGGACATAAAGCGCATTCACGTTTTAGATTATGTCCTTACGATGAGGTTCCTAAGGTCGCGGTGGTGAGTGAGGCCAGGCGGTCTCCATTTTTCTGTATCCTCGTCTGTACTGGATTTAATCCTTCCGACACTTCTGCTGTTGGATGGGGGCAAAAATGTCGCCGAATTTCATTTCGGTTAAACTTCTTTTCTGAGTAAGTTTATTTATTTATTTTGTTATGGAAATACACATTGAGGAAACTTTTTTCCTTTGATAAGAAATACAGCCATTAGGGAGGGGTCTCAACTCATAGGGATAGAAACGTGAAATAGTTGGAATTTTCCTCATGCTACAGCAAACCCCATTTATTCCAGTTCGAATGATTTTAAAGCAAATACTTGCGCTACTAAGGAATAGCACATGCCAGGAGCCTAGAAAGCCCCGCGTGCGTCTTCCTGCCTACAGCTAACGGCTGTCCCGACTCGGTGATAATTGTCTTTGTTGCTCTTATGGAAGCTCCTTCCTTCCATGCCCAGTCCCTTTTCTGTTCTCGTTCTCCAGATTCTCTTGGTCTGTGGCTTTTGGCAGTTCGATTAGACTCTGTCTTGGCGTGGATTGCTTTGAGTTTCTCCCGCTTGGAGTCTTTTGAGTTTCTTGGATGTTTACCTTCATGTTTTTCATGATCACTCGGTCAGACAGTTGACGATTCTTCCTTCTCCTTCCCTTCCTGCTGGCTCTCAGCCTCGGATCAGTCAGAGGTGATCGCTCAGGGCCCTCTCAGGTCTCCCCGGGGCATCTGCACAGCTGGGGCATGCACGTGGCCCTCGAGACTCCCTGGGCATCTCATTCCCCAGTCTCTCCTCTCGCGCTTTCTGCTTAGTTTGTCATTTGCCTCAGCTCTTATCCCCTGCCTCAGGCAGCAGACACTAAAGCATTTACCCGTAAACGTTTCCTCCCAGCGTCCCCCAGGGCGTGGCTGTAAGTCGCATAGCTTCTGAGCCCTCCCTTTGGAGGGCCATCTTTGCATGAACTCTCTAGGCATCCCTCTCCTCGGGCAGCTGGCCCCCTCGCCGCTCTTGGCCTTGGCGCACACACTTGTCACATGTATACCAGGTACTGAACTGACCGAACTGCACCAGGATCTTCCATTTTCAAATTTATCATAACGTTTATCCTAATCACCGCTGTCACTATGACTCTCGCCCCCAGTCTATATAATTGCTGTTCATAAAATGCTTACGATCTACACCATCATTAATATAATAACGATGGCCAGCGTTCGGCACTGCACGCCATCTCACCGATGGTCACGGGACGGGTGGCAAGTTTTACCTTTTAGATAGGCACCCTTTCCATCTAAGCCGTGTGAACCAGCTCCACGTTCCCCTCCGTGCTTCGTTGGGTGGCGCCGCCTTCCGCTTGGAGGGCTCGGTTATGTCAGCGCAGCTTCCAGATCGTGTTCGAAATGAGTTCTTGGGCTGTAGACATGCCAGAGAAATGGTCCGTGCCAGTCGGAACCGTCTGCATTTCCCCCGTTCTCACCTGACAAATCGAGGGCTTTGGTCTCTGCAACCCTTTCAGGCCCCTCCCCCTCTGTGGAAGTTCTGTGTGTCTGTGCTATTTCCCGTCCTGGTAGAAGAAGCTGGGCCACCTATCTGGGTGCCAGCAGCCAGGCTATATTAATTGCTTGTCCCATCATTATTCACCAGTCACAATGCCAACTGCATAGACCTGAAGCCCCATTTGCTTCCCAGTCCTCCAGAGACCCCAGTGCCACGAAAATAACGATATCTTTTGAAAACAAAGCAGCCGCTGGGAGCGATGCACCAAGGCAGTGATGGTAACAGGTTTCTGGAAGCCAGAAAGGAGATGGGAGCGATTTGATGGATGCAAGGGGTGGGGAAGGCCACAGCCTGGAGGAACAGTGCAGGAGCCTCTCCGCTTGGCGGAAGCAGCGCAGCTCTGGGGAAGGCGCAGGGGCGAGTAGGCCGAAAGCAGAGGGCGCAAGCGGAGCGGGTATCTATACATCAGTGCTCCCAGTGAGACCGTAGCCTGCTTTTTTATGAAGAAAATGATCGAAATGAGTGGCAAACCTCGGTTCCTGGTGTGGCTGGTAACAGTCCAGGTGAAGCCCACCTCTTTCTGGCCTCCGAGGGTCCATGGCATGACAGAGGTGCCCATAGAGTGCCCGTGGGGGTGTGGGGGAGACCCTCCACGGAATGGGTGACTCCACCAGAGCACAGAGGGGTCAGCACCATGGCAGACCGAAGAAAAATCTGGAAAAGCAGGGCTAATGGCTCATTCAGAGAAGAGAACTTTCCAACAGAAAATTCAGATACCCAGTACAGCAGATCTCCTAGTAATGTCCTTTCATTATAAAGCCGATGAGGTGCCGTAGGACCTTAAGGCTCGTTTTATCAATTAGCCTGTGGTAAAATCAGTTTCGTTACACACCGCTTCATTTAGAGTCGCAGAACCTATCAACAACATTAAGTGACGACTTACTATATCATGTCCAAGTGAAAACCCACGCAGAGGAAATCAAGCAAATACTCTTAGAAGTTAAAAATGCTTGCCAAAGTATTGAGAAATCAATGGAAAGAGTAGAAAAGAAAATGAGGCAACAAATCTGTAAGCATAGAAAGAGAAGAGACAGATAAAATGGTGACAAAGATGATCGACGCAGAGGCCTGATTCGGGAGGCTAACAGAGAAAGAGAGGAAGGAGAATGGAAGGTGGAGGTTACCTGTAAAGTGACGGGCGTGCAGAGCCGAGGGGGTGAGTCTCCATATTCCAAGCCCAGAGCAGGTAGAACCCAAAAGACGGACCCCAGCCAGGCCCCCTGACGTCTAAGTAGCAGGGCGCATGGCCGGGGCCCTAGCTTGTGGAAGGAAAGCGTGTACCCTCCGGAAGCTGATGCTTTGTGCATTCAGAGGGCCAGGGGCTTCCGGCCTAGGATCCGAGACCCAGCCAAGCTCTGAGCCAAGAGAGGGCCGGGTAGGGACTTGAGCCTGGGACAGAGGGAGATGTGAGCTGATTGAGCAGCCGGAGCGGAGTGGGCTGGAGGTTGGGAAAACCTGAGGATTCCGGAAAGGCAGATGATACCCAAGGGGACTTAGGAAAACCTCATCTGTGGAGAAGTGTGATCACAGCAGGAACTGTGTGGACCAGACCCCAGCGGGAGCATCGATGACAAGTGGGGAGGTTTGTCAGGGCCGGTCTGGGGTAGGCTCAGCTTGGTCCAGCTCTGGCTAGGAGTCTGTCTGCTCCAGCACTGCGCTGAGGCTCGTCACCCTGATGCACACCCCATGATTCCTGAGCTTCAGAGTCACCCTCGGGAAGGGTGGGGCCAGATGCCAACGAACTATGTCGCTTGTGGAAGGGGAGAGGATGGGCCGGGAGGCCGGGAAGCAAGCTCATGGAGGAAAGACTAGGTGTCTGTTTAAGTTGAGGCACCACCACCAGGAAAACCCGCTCTGTCCCTAGTATGGGGGAGGGGAGTGAGCTAAACTCCATGCTCAATGGTCATCGTCTGAAGTTAGTACCTTGACAGGCACATGCATGTCATGGCAGCGTCCCCCATTGCTTAAAGCCAAGCAGCAGGTCACAACTAAGGCTCATGTCACTCGATTTATATAGGATTAAAGCACAATAACCTCCCCTATGCATCCCCCTGCTCTCTGGGGGGTGGGCAGGGGTCTTCCGTCTGTGCCCAGCCTTCCGTGCTTTCTAGCACATGGTGCTCTCTAGCTCCTGGCCCCCTCAGCAGCCCCTGGGTCACCAGTTTTTGGGTCATGGTGGGAGTCGGGTCCCCAGGCTGCAAGCCCCTTGAGGGTTGAGGGGTTGAGGAGAGGCACTAGACTCACTTTGTGGTTTGCATTTTTTTTTTTTTTTTTGCTCTGCAGCCACAAAAATGG